CGCTTAATCGATTTCTCTTTTCATTCTGATCATTTATGTATACATTTGTCTATATCTATCTCGATTCGTTTTGCCTGTTACAAACAACCGTTATGTGAACAAAGTTATAATACCCTTGTGCACAAGTGCGCTCGGGTATAAAAAAACCTTAAATGATTTAAAATTGTTGTACCATAAAAATACATAGGAACATTTTAAAAATAAAAAAAAATAAACCTATACATATCTTCCGTCTCAACTTAAAGTTTTTGGCAAAGAAATAACTCTTTTTTTTACCAACTTAAAATTAAGTACATCACAATTTTCACTCTATATGATCTCTGCTTTGGCCCAATAAATCTAATTTGCAGTTCTTAAAGCATCTGCACAGACTACCGACGCTTCTGTTGCCTCCAAAAAACAAGAAAAAATTAAGTTTTAATCTTTGTTATGCTTTTGTTGTTATCTACTACTGTCCTTTATTCGCATTGTTGTTTTCGTATACAATTTCTTTCAGCTACTTAATGTTTTTGTCTGTCGCTCGCTTCTTATGCTACGTGTTCTTCAGTCCTCATTCTGCACACTTTGTTCTACATACTTTCGGTTTTTGTTTTCTTTTTTTTTAGTTTCTTGCCTTCACTTTTGTGTCACTCATTCGTTGTTGCTGCTTCGTTGCTTTTGCTTTTGCTTGCCGCTTGCCTTCGAGCGGCTAAAAATAAACAAAAATCCAACAACAACAACTTCATGAAATCCGCACGCAACTTTGGCAGCCGATGTGACACAGCTGGGCCGGTACTAGAAACCCCTACGTTGTTGTTAATAACAACAAAAACCACGAAAACGACCATAAACAACAACCACATACAACAAATCACGAGCTTCCTGTCTGCACAACAACTATTTTTGTAATTAATTTGCTTTCAGAAATTAGAGTCTGCCTTTAGTAAATAGTCTGTCTAATATTTGTCTGCAAATGTACGCACGTCCAGAGCCGGAGTCACATTTTGAGTTTCATATCAATGCAACTTTGTGCCGAACGCGGCGCAAAACACATCCGCTTCAATGCAATTTAGCCCGCACTCCGATTGAGTTATGTGATGTCTGTTGTTAGTGCTATTGTAATGGATGGAGCAGAAATTGCACGCGCGCACACAACCCACTTACCAAGCGACAAAAATTGAACTAAATCGCGCAGCGGAAGACTACACACCGATCAACTCAACGACGGAGTCAACTCAAATCCATTGGGGCGCATTCACCGGCTGAGCAGATAGATTGCGAAAGCAATGAGCACAACCAAACAGGCAAGCAGGCAGGTCGTGTAAAAACTCGTTGGACTGGCTGCTGCTCCCTCTCCGCAGTTGTGGTTGCATGCATTCTCTGTTGGGCGAGTTGTCTCTGGGTTGAGCTGTTTGGGTTCTCTCGCATCCGCCACGCACTATGTTTTCATGTTGTCACTAATCGCCGGTGTGCATAGCCAGTCTTGTGCGTCCGCCCGTCCATCCATCCGTCCATCGATTCGTTCATTCTCTAGCTAACTCCATGTTGGCCGGACTCTCTCCCCACTTGCTTTACGGCGTAGTGAGTGAGTGAGTGTCACTACGGCGTACAGGTGCGGTTATTTAACTGTCCTTACCTTTAATCTACTTACCGTGTTTTTTTGTTGTAACCCCTCGATACGTACTCGGCCGGTAGTGAAGAACAGGAAATGGAATTAGCTCTGGGACTATCGGAGAAATTGATCTAAATTATGTATTGCTATTAGTTACAGCTTTGAAGTCATTTAGGAGGGAAACATACAGTTCTTCGACATGAGCCACAGGAATTTGTGACTTCAGATCGCTGTCTTTGTATAGTTTTACGATTCTTATCAAAGCCATTAGCTACGTATGCTGTTTGATAGAAATTGTTAAACTCAATTAAAATGTGTTCTGAGTGATACTTCGAATTCTCACTTATTCGCCATTGTCACAACAAAAATATCCTTCGAAATGTAAAACCGCGAATCTTCATTTGTCTTAAAATATCACTAACATATTGGCTGGTAAAAAATGCATAAACCTATCGATGATCGCTAATGGTCTTTAGATTTTGTTCATATGTATTCAAACTCATACCTGAATGTAAATCAGTATCTTGCTACTTGTTGCCCGCCATCATCATAGCTCATTCGTAAAGCGACCCTTTCCAATGTTAGTTGATTGTACGCTCCTGAGTTTTTTCAGCTAAGCAACTCTCTTTTCGAAAGCAAGACACCCGACATTACTCAATGCTGAAGCAACAGATACTTAAATACGTACATATGTACTCTTCATACTGTATACGAATGTGCTCTAAGATATTCCACTTCGCCGGCTGCTCTGCTTATGTCGTTGAGATTTTTAAAATATGCTCGATCTCGATCTCTTCTGTAGATCACATGTCGTGTGTTTTTTTTTTTCAAAGATCACTTCATAAAGTGCCTCTCAGCTTAAGCGTACCATACTCTGATTTATTCCTACGAAATCATGTTTTTCGATAGAGTATTTTATATTTTTACCTTATCAATTAATGAAGTATTATTGGAAATACATAAAATGTTTGTATGAAATCAAAAGTACTTTAACCAACAGCCCATTTAGCTGAACTCGCGAATTTTGATAACAAAGCAGTGATGCTAGACATTCTCTGTTAAAAATGCCTCGAAAATCTGGAAAAAATCTCTCAAGTACCCAATTGAAAATATTCCTTCTTACTCAGCGCTGAGAAAATTTTCAAAATTGTCCGTATACTTTTTAATAATTATATAGTAGGCATATCATTTTACTCCACATCACATCTTCAGGACGATTAATTACGTAAGACTGTCGAAAATTCTTGAATTTTGATCAAGTATGCGTCGATAACTGTGTCAAAAGAAAATCCGTTTTTTTATTTGAAATGTCCCTTTATTCCCTTTTAATAATTTTTGTTGCAAAATATCCCTCAAATAGGAAAATTACCCACAATCTGGGCATCACAGTAACAAAGATGCAGCGTTTGCCTGAAGATCACAATACCACATCCATCACTTCTACATCCTATTTGTGTTACGACTCACTCAATCACACATTGAGTGTCTCTGTATTCGAGTTCTGACACTCATTTATGCTACTTCTCACTAATTTCTGTTCGTTATAGTCACAGTCATTTGCTGGTCCAAGCGAATATGCTAGTTAAAGGAAAATGTCAAAGAATTTTGTTTATCGTTTTGTTTACTCTCGCCTTAAGTGAGTATCTTTCAACCGGTAGCTAAAGATATGAAAAATAAATAGTTGCAAAAGCATTACCAGGCCAATGCGAGGGCCTAAGTTTTTTTAAAGAAATAACTTTACTTAGAGTTTGTAGATTACTATTGTAGGTGCGATATGATTTGCGAGAGTTTTTATCAATTCCTGTATTTATTTTTCCGCTCATCTCTCAATGAACCTAATTATATAATTTGAGTATTCCTTGTTACGCGATTTTCTAAAATTCCTGCCTTTATCTAATCTATGTATGCAAATGATCAAATTTATAGTATTATTGCTAGATCGAGTGATATATTTTGATGGTGTTCCAAAGCGATCTGATCATATGATTGACCATTCTGTGAAACTTTGTATGAAGTCCTTCATATTGATTGTTGTGATTATAGCAGAGAACCCGCTGGTGTTAGCAGAGGAAGAGGGAGGTCCCCACTGCAATCGAAAAACCAAGTGGAGAAGGACTTTGCTTCATTTGGCATTTCCAATTGGCGTCAGTTGGCACAGAAGAGAAACGACTGGCGTAATTTGTTAAACTCGGCCAAAATCGCTTAGGCGGTTACAGCGCCAAATAAGAAGAAGAGGACCATTTCTGTTTCGCATGACCCATTCAAGCGATCGTGATTTTGTGCGAGTTTTGATAAATTCCAGCTTTATTTGAATGAGAAATCAGATTTCTGTAATTATTGTTGAATCAGGGATCTGTTCAAGACATATGCGCATTTGAATTGATTGTATGACATAAGCATTACATGTGATGTGATCGGTCTATGATTTGGTGGGAATTTTTTCCATTCCTGCACTGTTTGAATGGGCAGATTGAGGCGATAGATCTCGTGATATGTCCAAGTATTTTGATCGTAAGTTCTGATCATTCAATTTTATGTGATTTTGTATGTACATAGTTTTATAATTCGTTTTACTAATTAGACATAAAATAGTGGTTATTTAATACTTGTGGTGATTTGATGGTGGATCCGATTGGTGAGATTTTTTTTTTGATTAATCACGTGATCTGTTCGAATGATCTGATTGCATGGTGTGTTTATGTAATGTAATCATTCAGTTTTATGCAATTTCAGAGACTGTTTTTCCAGTAGTGGAATTAAGTTATGTGATCAGCCGCACATGATCGCGCAATACATGTAAGCCTTTTAATTAATTTGATTTGACTTCTTTTGCATTGAGTTGATACGGGATGGTCAGGCGAACTCGGCTTTAATGTATGATTACTGAGCTTAAAGTAAAAGTTTACTTACTGCGGTTAGTCGTATTGGTGTCCCTTCGAGCCTCTGAGCAGTTCTAACACATGAACTTTTCACAGCGGATCTTTATTTTTGAAACACATAAAAGTACAGTTAATAATTCATTTGAAAATCATTTTTATATTTTATTTCTCCGCATTAATTTATGTAAAATTTTCTTATTTCTATAGATTTTTACTTGTTGTCAACATTAGCGTCAGCCTAGTGGACTGAATTCCTGGGGTTTTATCGTTTTTCGCTATATTTTTGTCTTAGATTTGCGAGCAAATAACTAGCGCGATTTTGCTAGGCAAATTTTTGGCTAGCGTAGCTGCACATGCTTCGCAAAATTTTTATATTTCTTTTTAATCTGGCATTCCTGGCTACCTAAAATATCGGCTTAATGTTTCTGTTCTGAAATTTAAGTCTCTTTTCACCTTTTTTGCTAGAATTGTTTAGTTTGGTGTGGAAATTTAGGTTGACATTGTACGACTGAACTCGATATACAGTGGTCGAACAAAATACAGCCGCACTACATTTTGACAAGTTTTAACATATTATTTTTTTGTTATTTAATTTTGGTTAGTTTTAATAAAAAAAGGTTCATTCTTTAACAGAGCCTGTGTAAATGCAAATTTTCAAACTTAGTGCAATATTTAAAAAAAAAATTAAATTCCCAAACACTCGGAAAATTTTCGAGCTTTTTTTTCAACAGATTTCGCAGAAAGATTGAAAGTATATTTCAAATGGCTAAAAATTACCGTTGATTTTGAAGATTATTGTTTAGTTGTATAAAAAAATTACCAAAATTGAATAACCCAAAAAAAATAATAATATTCTAAAACTTGTCGAAATGTGGTGCGGCTATAATTTGTTCGACCGCACCACATTTCGACAAGTTTTTATATACATATGTAAATATGTATGTATTTACTTCGGTTTTCAGGAAATAAAAAAGCTTGGTTAGTTTTATTTTTTTTTTTTATATTTTTCTTTTATTTCATTGCATTATTTTGAGTTGTAAAATTTTCTGTAATATATTTTATTTTTGGTTTTTAATTTATCCTTTTAATATATCTGTATGTATGTATGTATTTGCAATATCTTTTCGATAATTTTTTCCATGTAACATGCAATTAATTTTTATTTATTTATAATCTATTAATTTTTGGTTTTTTTTTTTTGTTTTTTAATGTAGGTAGTTATTCATATGTTTAGTGGTGAGTGAGTGTGTAGCGAGCTTTTGCGGTGTCTTTTTAGTAAAAATCTTAATTTTTTACTCTAAGCAGTTCTGGTGTGTTAAGGAAAATTCTACGCTTTTGTTTTGTTTTGCTTTGCGGAACTTTCTAAGAAAACTCTGCTCTACCCTCAGTATTTGATACTCCTACATAGACTTTACTTTCGCTTTTCGTCAGCTTTTCGCTTCTAATGAGCGTATTTTATGCTAAATAATGTTCTGTGAAATTTGATATTTTTTGTTTATTAAAAAAGAATTTGTATTTTTTTTTGTAGATTTAAATGGCGTATAAAAGCATTTTGTTGAGAATTTATTCTTAGTGTGTTTTTCTTGTTATTTTCTTAGGGCCATTGCGAGCTTAAATTTTCATGTATGTTAAGATATTTTTTTTTTAGTTCAAAAGCATTTTTGCAGCAGTTTTTAAAGCGTTTTCTGCTTTCGCTTGCAGCTTTTT